ATTTCTAAGCAGATATTAACATACTGTATTAAAACAAGTCTATCCTTCAACTTCTGGCTTGGATCTTACATTCAAAGGTATGCCTCAAGCTCCTCTTCATGTTCTGTTTCTATAGAAACAGTTGCTTTGACAGACCTTTAAATTGAAAGGGAAACTGAAGCACATTTACTGCCAGGCACAATTTTCTGGGATGGTTTAAGATATTGTGCTCAAAAGGAATGTAATTGCAGATTTTGAAAAGTCTGCCTGTAGTATTGTCAGATTATTTTATTGAGAAGCACGGGGTGTTTCAAACTGTTGTCTTGATATCTTTCTTCAGAAAGGCCAATTAAAAAGGCATTAATCATTTTGAAGACAATTCCTGTTTGTTTTCACTAGATAACAAAATGAATAATAAAGGGTACTTATTTGAAATCCCTTCTTGTTTGTGTACAGTTCTCCACTAAGTTTGGTAGCTGAGAAAAACAGACTTATTGCAAAACATCTAGTATGTTCTATTTAGAAAGCTGGTATAAACAAGCCCCAAAAATATTTATATTACATGTAATTCTTTGCTTGTTGGAAACTGGCTAAGAAAACCCCATTTGGGACACAGTTCAGAGGTATCACTCCAACATCAAACTAAAACTATATAAACTATGACCTTTTGGTCCAGAGTCCAGAGCTTCTAATGACATCTCCAAACTGCTGCCTGATTGTTAGATTAAATGCCATGGTGTAATGTGTACTCTTTTACAATGCGGCACAGAACAAATGTAAGTGGGCGTTTGAATATTCACAGGCATGGAATTCCACGAGAATCTGCACAGTGTAGCAGTAAAAGAGGGACTTAAAGGCCGGAAGCTACAGAAGGCTGTGGAGAGTTTTACCTGGAATATCACCATTCTCAAGGTAAGGTCTGTGGGATACACAGCTACTGGTTATGTTTTCTTTTTCTTGCGGAGTGCAGGCTTTGAAATCCCCTTGATTAATAAACACTGCAGTGTTACAGGAAAGTAAAACATTTCCAAATCTGACCTGGTATGCAATGGATTGCCTCTTTCACAACTCATTTTAACACCGATTATGATGACATAAGGAAAATATTTAGATTTTACTCTGGTCATTACACAGAACATGTTATGAATAGCTATAAATGATAAATACTTTTAGATCATTGTGTTATGTATGTTGTATGGGATTAACTACAAAGTACAATTCCTGACTCACCTTTGAGCAAATAATGTGCTCTTGAGCTCTGATTCATTGGTAATCTTTAGTTTTATCTTACGGAGTTAATACTGTAGGTAAGATTTTAAGATATTAAGTATCTAGTATCATGTTTGTGTAAGCTTCATAACTAACCAGTTATGACGCTTGCACCAGGTGACACCAGGTGACCAAACAGGTGACAATTTATCTAGTATATGTAGGGAATCCTGTATAAATTCCATGACAGTTTCAAAATTATTTTCATACAGAAAAGCCACACTTTTCTTTCTTAATTCATCTGTATATAAATTATGCCATGGCAGAACTTTTAAAGAATGTGTAAAATGTATCCATTTCAATCAATAACCAATGTAACATTATGAAAAGAAAACCCTTCCAGCACTAAATTTTCTTTGTGGTTTCACGCCAAATGTATTAGTTGTCTACACAGGAAATTGCATTTGGTGTAGCCTATTTATATTCATAAATTAATATTGTTTATGACGTTCATAAACATTATATTTCTGTCATTTTTATTTTCAGCTGCCAAAATTTCTCTTCAGTGGCATATTTCTCTTTAGTTACTATAATTCCATAATAGTATTCCATTTTACGTGGATTTAAAGATGCCCAGTAGGGAAACAGATTAAATGAAGCGATCGTTTCACTCACATCTAGCACACCATAAGTGCCACCCATCGATTGTCTTTGGCCAGTGAATCACACAACATGCTGTGCTGCAATACCGCAAACACTGGAATAAGAATTGACGCACATTCTGAGTGGCTGCATCTGTATGTGCAACTTCTTAGGAGCTGAAAACAGCTAGAAGGGTCAGCCATTTAATTCACTTTCCTGTGTGGTTGTGAGTTATTGACTGAGTGTGAGTGAGTTCTACATTGGACTGAAATGCAGAAGAGACAGTATTGCCAAGGAGCATATTTCTGCCACAGCTATAAAGGGTATACTAAACCATCATAATGTATTGTTTCTGAAATTGAATTTACAGTAGTATTATGTTTCATCAGCTTTAACTGATGATAATTTTACTTTTTATTGAAACAGTATCTATAACGCTTCACATACTGTAGTTTGATATAGAAAGCTCGTGGAAGTCTGATTTTACACTTTTGTAACTAAGGGCATTTAATTCATAAACACACTGAATGAATTATACCTTGTTCCAATGTTACACTTTTTATTCCTTCCTATTCATTCCTAGTAATTAATAGTAATGTGGTAGCTCATGAATTCTAGTTTTCATTCTGACCCAAGGTGTCTTCTGCGTGAATTTAAATGCTATTCCTGTGGTCCCATCGGTTTTTCCCAAGTCCAAAGATGTGATAGTTTAGAGGGTATTCCCATGTGTGTGTGTGCTGTGAAAGACTGGTACCTAGTTCCATTGTGTCCTGCCTTCTGCTTGTATTGGACTAAAGAATGATTGAAAATGGATGTGTGGTACGGAGTTAACATCACTGCTTAAGGTGGACTTGGTATTTTAGATTGTCTTTTGATTGTGTAATTAAAAATAAATTATTTTTAGCACTTGGTGCTAAATGACCATTATAATAGGCCTTCTATAATTTCTTGTGAGTCTTTTGTAAGTCAAGATGAGCAAGGCCAGCTCAGGCAGATATCTTGTTGATTAGATCAATAAAATCATTTTTTGGACAATGATGCATATGCAGCTGACTTGTTTACAGGAAGCTTAGTGGCAATGCTGTTACTTTTGATACATAAGCAAGTAATCAAAATGTGTGTTATAAATATTGCAAATCTGTAAAAATGAATTCAGTTTTATTGCTAAAAATAAAAGGGAAATTTTTGCCATATGACTCAAAATCCACTTCTTGGGGTAGTGGTCTTATCGCCGTTTTTTACCTGATTTAAAGAAAATAGCATTTCAAGGATCTAGCATATAAACTGGCAGATCAATAATTTAAGATAAAAATTATTTAAACTAATAATTTAAACAAAGCATCTAGTTTATTTATAAACACAGTCTTTTTAGTGGGGAAAAAGAAAGTGTTTATTTAAAACAAGAAGATGTCAAAAGTTGGTTAAACATTCTATTCAATTAAAGTACTACAGTATAGTGTATGTCAGAAACTTAGTACCCTGTTAACAAGAGATTACATGAACCTTGTTAAACCAAGGAGGTGACCTACAATGTACCAAGAGTAGAATTTAATGAAACAGTAAAGATTCCCTTTTTAACCTGTGAAAGTTAATTAATGGGCAAAAATCTCATTAATGCAATCTAACATTTGTATACAGTACATACTATACATTTGTTGCACCATTTTGGTATGCACCATTTCAGCAGGTAAGTAATTTGATATTATTATTTTATTATAATTTTTTATTTTATTATTAAAAAAAACTCATTATTCTTGTTTTTGGTATTTAGAAATTTGGCCATGCACAAATTGACCATTGCTATTAATATACAGGTTATGCAGTTGCTTTAGAGAGCAGTTTCAAGATACAAATTAAAGCTTTACAGTATTACTCTTTAAGACTCATAGAGTGACATAACTTACAGCATGATCTGGGACAGCAAGGCAACACTCATTTTATGTTTCTATTGCTAATCATAGGCTTAATATGTTTTTTTATTATTTTTGGGTTACTCAAAAATTCATGCTCAATTTGATTTAAATCTGGATGTTTTCTACTCTTTCCTCCAGGTAAATCCTCCGTTGCATTAACATTATATATGGGTCACTGTCACGCTGCAAGGTGAAGCAGCAGATTTAAATTAAATTGAGCAGCACTTTACATGCTTAAAAAAAATCAGAATGCCCCAAGGATAGACAAGAACTCAAAGTGGCAAATGCTTGGCAAATCATCTCAAATGATTGCACAAAGAGTTTGGTGAGCTCAGTCAGTCTCAGACGTCATGCTGTTGTTGCCTTAAAGGGATATGCAACTAAATACGTTTCCTTAATGTGAATGTCCCAGACATTATGTTCACTTGAGATCGCTGGGTTGAACACAAAGTATGTTTTTGTGTGCCTTCTCTACACATTTGAAGCAAAAAAAAAAGAAGTAGCCAGATAATTAATATGAAAAATGGAAAAGTAATGATTGTCTAAAGTAAGTTACAAACGCTTTGCTGTAGCAAACCTATATTATTTTAAGTGCACAAAATTAACATACCAAGCCACATGAATTAATTGATTGGTCTCTGTGTGCATTAATAGTGGTTCATGTGATTTCACAATTAACACAACTGTCTTGTAAGGTCCCCTCAGTTAGGTAGTAAATTTCAAGCAAGGATTCAACAATGAGGACCAAGGAGTTTTCCAAACAACTCAGAGATAAAGTTGTAGAAAATCACAGATTAGGAGACAGGTATAAAAAAGTCCAAAACACTGAATATCACTTTGAGCAGTGTGAAGTCATTCAGTCAGAATTAAATATTTGCGCTGTACCACTTGGATACTGTCTAGGTTTAGCTTTCTGTCTTAACTGAGCAGCCAGCCAAGGAGA